TTTAAAAAATAATAATAATTTTTTTTACAAATTTTCCCCCCCGGGAAAGGGAAAAAACGGTTACGTAATTTTAAAAAAACAAATAAAAACTTTTTAGGAATTTTCTTTAAAAAAATTTTTATAAATTTTTGAAAAAAAAAAAAAAAAAAAAAAAAAAAACCGATCGACTTTCCCTTTTTTTTTTTTTTTTTTTTTATTATTTATTTACTTACTATCTAGACAATAATAAAATTCTTATCAATTTTTTTTTGTTTAAACTTTAGGAAAAATTAATTTTAAAAAAAAAAAAAAACGCGTAAAATTTTTTGCGAAAGAAAAGAAAAATTCAATCACCAATCCGACCCTGTTTATAAATTTGACGCAGACTCCACCGGGGAATACATTTAAAGGCGTCACCACTTGGTTGTTATCCTAGAATTTTCTTTCATCTTTTTTTTTCCGCTTTTTTTTTTTTCGTTATTACCATCGTTTACGACGATACAGTTACCTAATTTTGTTTGTTTGTTTGTTTGTTTCTTTCTGTGTCACTGTATCACAAGGGTAAGTTTGATTTAACAATCGTTTAAAAAAAAATTTAATTTAATTAATAATGATGCGGCAAATTAAATTGTTAAATTTTAAATTAAACACGATTTTCATTTTTTTTTTTACGACAAACGCTACTTTGCAAAAAAATTTTAATAACCTTTCACTTACGCACACACGCACTTACGCACACATCAATTTTTTGAGAAAAATCTTTCTCTCTCTCTCTCTCTTTCGTGGAATTTTTTGAAAAGTTTTACAATACCTGAATTTTCTTTTCTTTTTTTTTTTTTTTGGAAAATAATTTAAAGTCGTTTAAATTTTTTGTTTTATTTCGGTTTATTTTATTCACACGTTAAAAAGGCTTCAAAAGGTTGTCCCATTTTTTTTTTTGGGGGAAGGAGGGAAGAGGAAAAGGCCTTTTTTTCGGTGTGTGTTTACCTAAAGGTCAATGTTTTGATCAATATCTTCTCGGTTTACTTTCTAATTTTTTATATATTTATATGTAAATATAAAATTGGAAAATTATTATTATTATTATTATTATTATTATTATGTTTCAGAAGCCCTGATTGGGGGAAGATTACACTCCGCATTGACTGGAGAAGAAGAACATATGATTAGTAAAAGTTATCGTGAAGCACCTGCGGCTAAAGATCCAGTTGATAAATTAAGGCTTTTGTGCCTGGCAAGAGGAGCGAGTGGAATTTTAGGTTTGGGAAGGTAAAATTAATTATTTAATACAAAATTTCTTTTGTTTTCCGCATGTTTAAATAAATAAATAATAATAATGATGATGATGGTGATGGTGGTGGTGG